AGCTAAAGATCAAGTAGCCTTTTTGGAGCTATAATATTCCTTGTTATACGAAACAGGGAGTATTTAATAGACAGTCTTTATAGCCGAGCAGAAGAACCAGAAAGTCCTTCGTAAATGAACTGAAAATCAATGAGCCCTTAATAGAAGTCTTTCCTAGACGATCTGAATCTCAATGAGTCCTTTATGGACCAGCTGAAGCGCAGATAATTGCAATAGGCGAACTTCACAACTAGGAAGTCTGAAGCTCAAGAATTACTTCATAAGCGAACAATATCTCAGGCAGTCCTTCGTATGATACTTGGAGCTCAGGGGTTCTTTCCAGAAGAACAGAAGTTCAACAAGTCTTTCGAGGAAGAGTTGAAAACTCAGAGTGTCTTTATATGCGAACTGAAGGGCCAGGGAGTCTGAAGACGAGCTGAAGACCAGAAAGTCTTTTATAGACGACCTGAAGGGTCCGATAATCTTTCGTTGACGCCAGGAAATCTTTCATAGACGAGCTGTAGGGAGTCTTTCATAGACGAGCTGTTGGGAGTCTTTCATAGACGAGCTGTTGGGAGTCTTTCATAGACGAGCTGTTGGGAGTCTTTCATAGACGAGCTGTAGGGAGTCTTTCATAGACGAGCTGTAGGGAGTCTTTCATAGACGAGCTGTAGGGAGTCTTTCATAGACGAGCTGTAGGGAGTCTTTCATAGACGAGCTGTAGGGAGTCTTTCATAAACGAGCTGTAGGGAGTCTTTCATAGACGAGCTGAAGGTAGTCTTTCATAGACGAGCTGTAGGGAGTCTTTCATAGACGAGCTGTAGGGAGTCTTTCATAGACGAGCTGTAGGGAGTCTTTCATAGATGAGCTGTAGGGAGTCTTTCATAGACGAGCTGTAGGGAGTTTTTCATAGACGAGCTGTAGGGAGTCTTTCATAGACGAGCTGTAGGGAGTCTTTCATAGACGAGCTGTAGGGAGTCTTTCATAGACGAGCTGTAGGGAGTCTTTCATAGACGAGCTGTAGGGAGTCTTTCATAGACGAGCTGTAGGGAGTCTTTCATAGACGAGCTGTAGGGAGTCTTTCATAGACGAGCTGTAGGGAGTCTTTCATAGACGAGCTGTAGGGAGTCTTTCATAGACGAGCTGAAGGGAGTCTTTCATAGACGAGCTGAACGGGGAGTCTTTTATAGACGAGCTGTACGGGGAGTCTGTCATAGACGAGCTGAACGGGGAGTCTGTCATAGACGAGCTGAAGGGAGTCTTTCATAGACGAGCTGTAATGAGTCTTTAATAGACGAGCTGTAGGGAGTATTTCATAGACGAGCTGAACGGGGAGTCTGTCATAGACGAGCTGAAGGGAGTCTTTCATAGACGAGCTGTAATGAGTCTTTAATAGACGAGCTGTAGGGAGTCTTTCATAGACGAGCCATAGGGAGTCTTTCATAGACGAGCCATAGGGAGTCTTTCATAGACGAGCTGAAGGGAGTCTTTCATAGACGAGCTGAAGGGAGTCTTTCATAGACGAGCTGAAGGAGAAATTCTCAATAACTGAGAGTCTCTATAGGTCAGCTGAAGGAACTAGCTGAAGCCGATATTCATGCATTGACGAGTTTAGGAAGATGTTTTAATATCGAGGAGGCTCTCATAGATAGGAATAAAATAATTCTGTCTTTCATTGACGAGCTGTAGGGAGTCTTTCATAGACGAGCTGAAGGAGAAATTCTCAGTAACTTAGAGTCTCTATAGGTCAGCTGAAGGAACTAGCTGAAGCCGATATTCATGCATTGACGAGTTTAGGAAGATGTTTTAATACCGAGGAGGCTCTCATAGATAGGAATAAAAAAAATTCTGTCTCCTTGCGAAGGCATGTTATTGAGTCTGAATACAGATGAGCTGTGACATATCGGTTATAACGACTGTGTCCAAAGTCTCGAGAAAGGTTCTGTCCATTGTTTGATATCGTTTATAGCGACCGATTTTGCGGGAACCTTGGCCGTACTTTTTAAGCGATTTAGACTGTATATGCGACCGAATAGGATAGTGGTCAAGAGAGAAAACTTTAAGAGATCTTACATAGTTCGAAGACTTTTACGAGGACTTTTCTTCCGCCCTATAAAATAGATTTATATAGATATCTAGGAGAAAAAAATATTTTCTAGATTACTTTCAAACCATATATATTTTTATTATTTTAATTAGAAAATATATAAATTATTCCATGACTCCAAAGATCGATCTCTCTAGTTAATCTGCAAATAAAAAAAATTGTGAAGAACAACATATATTTTGATTAAAAACTCCTCTCTCTCTCTCCCAACTTACCGCACAACCACATCCATTGGCTGGAACACCACGTCCCCTGCCATCCAATGAGCAATGGCATGATTTAAAATCTGGTTTTGTGGCCAAGGGATTAGCTCCGCTGGGTGATGCCAAACATGAAAACATCAACAACAAAAGTAGCATATTAACAAATATTACAACAACACTTGGAAGCTTCATGTCCGTTATGGTTCTCACTGACTCTCGACGACTAATCAGTTCGTGGCAATAATTACAACTAATGAAGCGATGTAAGATTTATAATCAAATGTCAATGATTTGTTGTTGTAGGGCTTATTACTATTATTGATGATATTTATTTTTGTATATTTTATAGAAAATTGTGGTGGTAAATTACACACACACGTAGTATATCAACTAATTGAATTACTGATTGATTGTGGTTTAGAGACTTCAATTAATTAAAACATCCAACTAGCTAGTGGGGGATTTTATTTTTAACGTTAGATGCGGGGTAAGATGGATACTTTAATGTTTTAATATTTATTACCTATTTTCTAAGAAACTCATTCGTAGTGTGTATAACAGTTTAATGAAATTCGTATAAGCACTTATATATGTAATACGAGGGCAGTTCGGAAAGTTCTTAGTCTAGCACAAAAAGAGCGGGGTACACAGAAATATGTTATGTGTTTTGGAAACTTCCATCTCTGTTATGAACACATGTTAAATTTGGTTTCGATCTGGCAACTCCTTTATATAGAAACAGGTGTTCAAAAAAAGGCGCATCCGCATTTTTATACCCTTCACCAATCTGTGGTACAGGGTATTATGTCTTTGTGCATATGTTTGTAACAGGCAAAAGGAAACGAGATAGACACATGGTTCCTTTTGAGAATATGCATAGAATCACTTTCTAAGTCGATTTATGCATGTCCGTCCGTCTGTCTGTCCATGTTAAATTGTAAACAAAGTACAGGTCGCATTTATAATCCGAATTGGATGAAATTGGGCATAGATCACTTATTTGGCCCAAGGGCGAACCCTATTGAAATTGGGAAAAATCGGTTCAGATTTAGATATATCTCCCATATATATTTTCGTCCGATTTAATGTATACGGTCCCTATATATCTTTCGATTTGCACGAAATTTGGCACAGCGTAATGAATAAGGTCTAGAATAATGTGTGTCAAGTTTCCTGAAAATCGGTTCAGATTTGGATATAGCTCCCATATATATTTTCGTCCGATTTTGAGGTAAATGGTGTACCAAAGTCCCTATATATATTTCGATTTGCACGAAATTTGGCACAGCGTAATGAATAAGGTCTAGAATGATGTGTGCAAAGTTTCGTGAAAATCGGTTCAGATTTTAGCTTCCATATATATTTTCGTCCGATATAGCTCCCATATATAGTTTCGTCCGATTTTGTGTAATTGGTGTACCAAAGCCCCTATATATCTTTCGATTTCCACGAAATTTGGCACAGCGTAATGAATAAGGTCTAGAATGATGTCTGCCAAGTTTCTTGAAAATCGTCCGATTTTATGTAATTGGTGTACCAAAGTCTCTGAAAACTGATGCTCAAGTAGTCTTTCATAGGCGAAGAAAACGGTCAGAGAGTCTTTATATTCGAGCTGAAGGGCCAGGGTGCCTCTCACAGACTAGAAAATCTTTTATAGACGTGCTAACGCATCAAAAAGTCTTCATTGATGAACTAAAGGGCCATTGAGTCTTTCGCAAACAATCAAACAGGTCAGAAAGGTTTTCATAGACAAATTAAAGAATAAGGGCGTCTTTCATAGACAACGAGCTGAGGGGTCAGAAAGCCTAAATGGACGAGCTGAATGAGGTTTTCATAAACGAGCTGAGGGAGTCTCTATAGACGAGCCGAGGATAGACTTTATAGACTTGCTGAATATAGTCTTTATAGACGATCTGATGGGAGTCTCTATAGACGATTTGATGGGGATCTCTAGAGACGATCTGATGGGAGTCTCTATGACGATCTGATAGGAGTCTCTTTAGACGATCTGAAAGGAGTGTCTATAGACGAGTGGGAGGGAGTCTCTATAGACCAGCTGAAGGGAGTCTGTATAGACGAACTAATGTCAGCTATTTTTTGTAAATATAATTTTATGTGGATAACAGGGTCGGATACAGGAATGTGTAGCTCCTAATTTGGTGCTATATAATAATATATAATTTTACGTTACAACATTAATACTTAAAATACATAATTTATTTCAAATATATTAAAAAAATAGTTAATCGAATAAATGTCCTAACAAACTAATTTTTGTCTTCTTCTCTTTTATTTACAGGTAAATTGAATATATACAATTTTTAGTGAATTAAATAGAAGTAACAAAGAAAAAATTGTGAGTATAATTTCTATATTTTATAAAGAATCATAACGAAAAGGGATTTGACGAAATGTCTATAGAGAATATATATATATATATATATATATATATAAAATCTGGATTTCTGATGGATAATGGTGTATCATATTCAAAAGAAAAGGATACTGTGGGAAAATGTGACCTCATCTGTAAAAGCTGTCATCCCGTAGTATTTAAAGTCGGAATTACTTATTTCATTTTATTTTTTATAAATTTATATTTTATTTTTGTTTAATTTTTAATATATTTTAATTACATAGTTTGTTTTTTAATATTTATTTTTAATTATGATTTTTTTTATTTTCACATGTTTTTTTTTTGTTTCATTTAGCCCCACATCATTTGTAGATTCCCTTTTAAAAGAAACAACGTAAGTAGTTTGATTTTTTTTATTTTATTATTATTATTATTATTATTTTTTGTTTAAGGTATTTCAGTATACTTGTTATTTTTTATTTATTCCATTAACACATAATTTTAATTTTATTATATACATATTTTATTATATACATATTTATATATAAATTTTTGTAATTTTTTAAATTTGTTGTGTTATATATCTTTGTTTTTCAAATATTTTGTTTAACAAACAATTTAGAAAATTGTTGATTGTTTCTTTTTTTCCAATAGAAACGTTTCGCTTTCTTATAGAAAAAATTAATCAGTTACTGAAACAACCCCTTAGAGACTTCTCAGGGATCTGATGATTTTTTTCCTAACTAATGAATGCATTTTTTTTACAGGAGATTGCTTAAAAAAGACTCTCTAAGTATCTGAAGAGGATTTATTTTAAAATAGTGATGGACTTGAGGCAAACTTTCCCATTAAAAGAAGATCCTCAGGGGATCAAGGTTTTACCTTTTTTTTGCAAAATGAAAGATACAATCCTCTTTAAAAAAATCTTCAATTTCAGACGATATTTTGGATACAGGATACAGAAAATAGACTTTCTCAGTAACTGATACATTTTTATAAAAAAAATGCCTCAGCCTTTTGCCTCATATTGAGGAAGACTTTTTTCCATAGAAAAAAACCGCAGTTGCTGAGGAAGATTTTTTTTTACTAGAAAATATTCCTCAGTTTTTTCTATAGAAGTCTTTCTCAGCAGCGGAGGAATTTTTTCTTTAGAAAAAGTCTTCCTCAGCATTTGGAAATGTTTTCCTACAGAAAAAATCTTCCTTAGCAACTGAGGATTTTTTTCTATAGAAAAGTCTTCCTCAGCAACAGCGGAATTTTGTTCTATACAAAAAAGTATTCCTCAGCAACTGAGGAATTTTTTTCTAAAGGAAAAAGTCTTCTTCAACAGCTGAGGATTTTGTTTATAAAAAAGTCTTCTTCAGCAAGTGAGGAATTTTGTTTAATAGAAAAAAGAGTTCCCCAGTTACTGATGAGATTTTTTTAAAGAAAAAAATCTTCCTTAGTTACTGAGGAATTTTGTTCTATAGGAAAAAGTTGTCCTCAGTAACTGAGAAATTTGTTTCTGTAGAAAAAGGTCTTCCTCAGTTACTATAGATTTTTTTTGAGATCACAAAATCCTCCTCAGCAACTGAGACATTTTTTCCTATAGAAAAAAGTCTTCCTCAGAGGAAACAGAGGAATTTTTTTCTATACAAAAAAGTCTTCCTCAGCAACAGAGGAATTTTTTTTTCTATACAAAAAAGTCTTCCTCAGCAACTGAGGAGTTTTTTTCTATAGAAAAAAGTCTTCCTTTTTTTCTATACAAAAAAATCTTTCTCAGCACCTGAGGAGTTTTTTTCTATAGAAAAAAGTCTTCCACAGCAACTGAGGAGTCTTCCTCAGCTACTGAGGAATTTTTTTCTATAGAAAAAAGTCTTCCTCAGCAACTGAGACATTTTTTACTATAGAAAAAAATTCCTCAGCAACTGAGGAGTTTTTTCTATAGAAAAAAGTCTTCCTCAGCAACTGAGAATTTTTTTCTATAGAAAAAGGTCTTCCTCAGAAACTGAGGATTTTTTTCTAAAGAAAAATGCCGTCCTCAGCTTTCGAGAATTTTTTTTTCTATAAAAAAGTCTTCCTCAGCAGCTGAAAAATTTTTTCCTATAGAAAAAAGTCTTCCTCAGCAACTGAGGAATTTTTTTCTATACAAAAAAGTCTTCCTCAGCAACTGAGTAATTTTGTTCAATAGAAAAATGTCTTCCTCAATTACTGATGATTTTTTTTTCTATAGAAAAAATCTGTTACTGAGGATTTTTGTTCTATAGGAAAAAGTCGTCCTCAAGAACTGATGATGTTTTTCCTATAGAAAAAGACCGCACTAAGCACTAGAGGATTTTTTTTCTATAAAAAAGTATTTCTAAGAAACTTAGAAATCCTCCGTAGACAATTTTTTTCTTCAGGAAAATTTTGTTTTTTTTTCTAAAAAAGTGTCGTCCTCAGCAGCTGAGGATTTTCTTTCTACAGAAAAAAGTCTTCCTCGGCAACTGAGGATTTTTATATAGAAAAAAAAAATGTCTTCCTCAGCAACTGAGGATTTTTATACAGAAAAATGTCTTCCTCATAAAAAAGTTTTACCACCCGATGAGAACCAAAGAACCTGCGTGATGTTCTAAAAATTCCGAGTACCGCCATTTGGAGGCTACCCCCCAAAAGTGGGCAAAACGTTTATCTCTAGAAAAATTTCCGCAGGCCACCTGATTACGACTTTTTTCTAGAGAAGAAAAATAAATTGTTTCTGCATAACAAAAAAAAATATTTTAAAGGGAATCTGAGGCCCTTAAAAAAGCTCTTCATATTGATAAATTATTCAGGCTCCTTGGAGAAGACTTTTGTGACTAGTAAAAAATTTCGGATAATAAGCAAATCGAATCAATAATTTCTACGATAGATGGTGTACCATCCAAAACTATCCGAATCTTGCTTAAAGAAAAAATAATTCTCAGGGTTATAAGTATTTGTTTCTACAGAAACAATTCTCAATTACTGAGTGGCAATTTTTCTATAGAAAAAATCCTTAGGTCCACTACTAAAGACAATTTCCTGTAAATAAAAATAAAAATTATCTTTATCATCTAAACAGCATTAAAAAATTATTTTTTCACATTTTAAGCCATATATCATTTTTGTTTTTGTCTCCTCATAAATATCCAATTTCGTTTCGTTTCATTTTTGTTTTGCTCACCAGATAAATAATTTACATAGTATCATCTCGTTTCCTAACAAGGAAAAGGGTTAGGTCGTAAAAAATGAAACCGAAACATAAATCTATAAATTATGGTCTTATGAAAGGATCATATATTCCGACAGCAGCAGCGGTAACACTTGGTATCCACATTGCCCTGCAAATGAGAACACTAGCCGGTTGTTGGGTTGGTCACATAAATAAATTAAAATTTGTGAATGTGTTAATTTTCCAGTTGGTCCTTTACCGGATGGTCCTTTGGAAAAAGGAGTGCGTGTGCGTTAGACACCATACATACTACGTATACTTGTCCTTTGGTGTCCTGCTGCAAAAAAACCGAAGCTAACTTAATTACCCAGGCTAGAAAACAATTTGCCCTCTCATTTCATATTATAAATTAAATGTATTTATTAGATGCAAGAAGACGATGGGAGAGAGAGAGAGGGGAGAAGACAAGAAGTGGGGGTTGTGGAATATCATTTTACTTGATAATTTTCATTTGCTCTCCCTCACCAACCCCCTGGTTGCTGGCTATCATCAACGTTGTATGTGGTTAATAGTTTCATTACTTTTTCTTGGTCTAGTGTCTCATTTTATGTTTTGTTGCCTGCCTGCCTGACCTAAGAGAGACACGTGCCACATGACGCGGTGGTGGCGCCAGCAATGAGAAACCACAGATATCAAACAAACTAAATTATGCATTTAATATAAAACGAAGAAGAAGGACAAGGACCAGAAGATAGTCATATTCATTTATTTGTTTGTAGTTCCCACTGCCACGTTCGCACTTAAACATTTGCTCTAACGAAGTAGAATGCTCCTCAACCCCATCCAAGTGCAATCGTCGTAATCATGAGTAGGACCTCAGGAAATATTATAAAATAATATAAAATATGATATACTCAATGCTCTACTTTTGGTTGGGTGAAAGATGTGGGGGAGGAGTTACATTATCACACAATACTAACCACCAAGCAACCGACGCATCCAACCAACCGACCATTGGAGGTCACATTTACAATGTTCGCAAAGTAAAGTTCAGAGTAATTCCGTGCAATGGAAATAATTATAGGCCTTTGAAATACACTGAGGAAACAAATTGAAAAATATTTTTCCATGGAAAATTCATCAAAATTAAAAAAATTTTGTAATGAAAGCAGTCCTCAGATCACCTATGGATTACTTTTCTATAAAAAAAAAACAAAAAAGAAGAATCCACAGATTCCTGAGGACACTTTTATCTATAGGAAAACATTCTCTGACCCCAGAGGATACCTTAGACTCTTTTTTCTAAAGAAAAAAATTCTTAGAAACCGGAGGAGTCTATTTTTTATAAGAAAAATTCCTCAGGCCCCTGATACTTTTTCCTATAGAAAAACAAAATCCACACACTTCTGAATATACTTTTTCTATAGAAAAAAATCCTAATACCTATGAGGAATGTTATTTCTATATCAAAAAATCCTCGGACCTCTGAGGGTGCTTTTTTCTATAGAAAATCATTCCTCAGACCTCTGAGGCTACCTTTTTCTATAGGAAATCATTCCTTAGACTTCTGAGATTACTTTTTTCTATATAAAATCATTCCTCAGAACTCTGAGGTCACTTTTTTCTATAGAAAATCATTCATAAGACCTCTGAGGATCCTTTTTTCCAATAGGAAAAAAATCCTCAGACCTCTGAGGATAATTTTTTTTCTATTGGAAAAAAATTCTCAGACCTCTGAGGATAATTTTTTATATAGGAAAAAAATCCTCACACTTCTGAAGTTATTTTCTTCTAAAGGAAAAAAATCCTCAGACCTCTGAGGATACTTTTTTCTATAGGAAAAAAATCCTCAGACCTCTGAGGATAATTTTTTCTATAGGAAAAAAATCCTCAGACCTCTGAGGATAATTTTTTCTATAGGAAAAAAATCCTCAGACCTCTGAGGATACTTTTTACTAAAGGAAAAAACCCTCTGATCTCTGAGGATACTTTTTTCTATAGGAAAAAAATACTCAGATCTCAGAGGATACTTTTTTCTATAGGAAAAAAATTCCTAAGACCTCTGAGAACATTTTTTCTATAGGAAAAAAATCCTCAGACTTGTAAGAATACTTTTTTCCATAGGAAAAAAATCCTCAGACCTCTGAGGATACTTTTTTCTATAGGAGCGGTCTATAGGAAAAAATCCTGAGACCTATGAGGATACTTTTTTCTGTAGGAAAAAATGCTAAGACCCTGATGAT